TTAAAAATATGATTCCATATTTTTAAATAAATTTTAAATAAATAATTATATTTACGCTCTACTTTTGTATCGAGCACTGTTTTTTTTAAATAATAACAAAAATACTAAAGAACTTTGGATTATTTACCTAACCAGTTCTTTCCAATTTCTATATATTTTACACACACACACACACACACACACACACACACACACACACATATATATATATATATATATTATAAAAAAAAATATTTCCCATTCACATCTTAGTTTGTGTCTCTGCTGTGTCTTTATTCTTATTTTTGTCACTACGGATCGGATAAAAATATAAACAAACTTTACTTTATATATATATATAAGTTTGTATTTACCCGCTGAAAAAAAGTCTGTGCGTATTATACACGAGAGATTTAAAAAAAAGTTTCCGAGTGCAGTCTTATATCGTGCTTCTTACGCACGAATAATTACGGCATTTTGAAATTTTTACATTTGTTACTATTTAATAAGCTTAAATTTATCTCGCACGTGGCGTCACGTGTTGAGTCACTTAATGAAAATCGAGCTCTCGACACAGTAGCAATAGTCAGATTAACTTGTTAACTACACGATTAGGCGCGCACTTTGATGTTTACATGAAGATTTTTTTTTTATTGATCATGTAGTGGACTTTCAATATATAAATTGCTATCAAATACTTAAAGGGTCAGTTCAGATTTTGAAATATTGCTAAAAATTCATTATTAAAATTTAGACAAAATTCAGTGACGTATTTCGTACTGATTTTTAAATGTTTTTAAGTGTAAAACAGGTCAGCAGATATTTTTTTAGTCCCAATGATTAATTTTAAGTTACTAGCTTGCAGGGATTGATTTGGGTTTTCAGTGTTCGAGTTTGAATTAATCTTGTTTGCATTCTCATAATTCCTTGTTATGTTCTTCACTTTTGTGTTCCTAAAGTCACAAATCAAATTCCTCTCTTTTATGTTCTGAGTATCACAGAACACATTATCTTCTACGTGTTCTCAGAGTTCCAAATCAGATTCCACTTCCCTTGTGTTCTCAGATACCAGATCACCCCACTTGTGTCCTTAGAGTCCCAATTCAGATTCCTCTCTTTTGTGTTCTTAGTATTCTAGGTCACCTTTCTCCCCTTTTGCGTTCCAATTCTCCCGGATCACCTTCCTCCTCTTGTGTTCTCGGAGTCACAAATCAGATTCCTCCCCTTTGCGTTCTTAGTTGTTTAGGTCATATTTCTCCCATTTGTGTTCACAGTATCCCAGGGCACATTTTCTTGTGTGTTCCCAGTATTCCATATCACCTTCCTCCCCTTGTGTTCTCAGATTCTACTCCTTTGAGTTCTCAGTGTCTCAGGTCACCTTTCTCCTGTTGTGTTCTCAGAGTCCCAAGTCAGATGTCTCCTCTGTAATGACAAAAGTACTCAGGCGTAGGCTTTAAGAAAGCTTTACTCAACTGAAAATACAAGATTCGCGTATATTGTCCTTTTATAGTCTCAGTAAACAGAAATAGCTCTCTCAAAGAGGAGAGTAACAAAACAAGGGGAGACCACTATTCATAACATCCCCTTTGTGTTCTCGGTAACCCAGGTCACATTTTCTTTTTGTTCTCATTGTGCCAAGTTATATTTCTCCCACACGTGTTCTGAGTGTCCCAGATTATATTTCACACCCTGTGTTCTCAGTGTTCCAGTTCAGATTACTTTCTTTTGTGTAATCAGGGTCCAAGGTCATATTACTTTCTTTTGCGTTCTCGCAATTTGAGGTCAGATTTTTCATCTTTCTTCTTCCACTTTTGTTCTTAGTGTCTCGAGTCATTCCTCCTCTTACGGTTCCAGATTTTCGCAATTACTGAGAGAATGGTGCAATGGATAGCATCTTGGAATGAGAAATCAGAGAGCGAGTTCCAATTCCAGTCGTGTTCATTGCATTCCCTTGGGAATGGTTTGGATCTTTTCCTAATTGCTGTGACTGAAGACATGTATCAGGAGAGGTCATTGTTTCTTCAAAGAAATTGTTAATACAATATTAACTCGTAAAAGAGAAATTATTCTTACAACCCCCCCCAAATATATTTCGACTTTTAAATAACCCATAAACTGTTGATTAGCTATAAAAACAACCAATCGAAATTCTTCAACCATTTTCAATTATCATTTACTAATTTCTTGTTACTGATATTCTTATGCTTTCTGCATACGATAGAAATTCCTCTGCACTTCCTCTCCTGACTAAAATTCGTCCATTTAGACTTGAAATTCTTCTCTTGAATGCCAGGTGTCTCCTGTTTGAGAATTACTAAGTGCTGTCACGGAAACATTAGTGTAAGTGTGGTTGCCATTGTCCTCTTCTCTTTTTTTTTTTTTTCTCCGTCACAATATTTTGAGTACGTAAACGGCTCTTTATAACGATATTTACTTAACATATCATAGTACAGCATAACTCTTGATTAAGTGCCACTTCGACGTGGTGTAATGCTTAGCAAATCTCCAAAATTCTAGATCAAGTAAATGAGGGTAAGAAGGCCTATCTCCATAAAACAAATAAACTTGGCACTCAAAATGCTGGCTTTTTATCTAGATACAAACATCAATCTCTGGTAGAAGATACGCAACTATCTTAACTGTGTGGATGGTCGCATAATTCTTTATTTAAAGGAATTTGACGTTGGTTATTCTACAATAATTATTCTATTGCCATTGTTTTTATCACGCTGAATTTTTATTTTAAAACTTTCACTTTTCTATCTATAAAATTAGCGGAGAAGCGCTGGATTAAGTGCATTCACAAAGAGATTGTGTTGAAATAAATTGTTGAGTACATTAAATGTGTTACACATATTTTGTTGGTCGGTTGATTTTTTTTTAGCGGCATAGCAACACATCTATGGGTTATTTAATGTCGAAATATAAATATTTTATGCGTAATTTTATGCTTTCAACTACAGATATTTTGTACATAATTTTACATTTTCAGGGTAAAGTTATGTTTTTTTTTGTTTTTTTTTAGATATATAGTTTGTAGATCATGAAATATATTGTTGGTAATTTTACAATAAAAATGTATTCTTATATTTTTTTAGTGTTGCATTGATAGTCATTTTACTATAGCAAATCTATTGTTACTCATTTTATTATAAAAAATATACTGTTCATTTTGTTTGTAGTGGTTTCCTATTTGTTCATAACTGGGAACCTAGCAGATGCGACCACTCTAGGTCAGGGTGGGCCTGGAGACAACAGTAATTAAGGAGGTCTTTCCAACGCTCCTCAAAATCTCACGTCTCCTTATCAGAGGCCTTGCTGCCAGATGTAGTTTGTCGTAAGATCCAGGACGGATCATATTTTGTCGAATGTCTAATTAATACACCTACGTATGTATATCAATAATTTTGGAATGCATGAATGCACTGTTTTCTGTGAGGTTGTATTGTTGACTCTTGGTTAGAGCACATGCTTACAACATGATACGGGTTTAATAAGATCTCAATTGTTGATCAAATCCACCATCGCCATCGTTAATCAGATCAATCCTCAGCGAGTGCTGATATGATCTTTTGTCAAAGTTGACGTTGTCTCAAAAATGGAGAAATAATTTGATTCGTTTTTATCTTTATTATCTATGTATTTCTGCGTATATATATATATATATATATATATATATATATATATATATATATATATATATATATATATATTTTAATCATTTCACCTCAAATAAGGCAATAAAGCCACTAGGACGTAGGGGCTTACTGAGTGTTATAGAATATGAGAAAAACTACTATTAACCCTAGAACACTAACCATGGGTATATAGCACCCAGCGCAAATTTTCCTATTTTAATTACAATTTTCAGTACCTGATTTTCTTACCTAAATAATATGTTTTCAGTTCCTATTAATGTTAACTCAAAGTATAAAGTTTGAAGTGCCTGCATGTAAAATATTTCAAATAAAGATTCATATTTAATATTTCTTTTGATATTTTGAAAATCGGGTATGACAGACCCATGGCTAGTAGTGTAACTTTAATTGATGGTTAGTGTTCTAGGGTTAAGGAGAGAGGACAATAAGGATTAAGACAGAAGATAACGATTGACATTGCCTTTAAATGTTAGAAGATCAAAGTTGGCTAGGAAGCCAGAAGTGCAATAGAAGAAACTGTTAGCATAGAACTTACGATTATATCTAGCCGTTTCAACTGTAAAATGATGAGACCTTGCCGCCAATCGAGTATTGCACTTAAATTCATAAAGTCTAGGTGCCATCGCGAAAAGAACACCAGAACAATTATCATGAAATTGTTTATAGGAAAGACAGGGGGAAGCTACGATACGGCGATGGGAAAGTGACTGAAGCCCATACCGTCTTTTATTAAGTACAGCTTCGTAAGATATAAACTACGTACGTCATTACCAAAGACAATGGAAATCACTAATTATGACTTACGAAATTATAATGTCATCGTTCTGCAGTTTTATTGTTAAGATCCAACTGACAGATGCGCGCATAAGGGAGCGGTTATTAGCACGAGAAGTAGGATCAGCGAACCGAGTTCAATTTCAAGCAACTGCCTTTTGGAAAGCCATGAATCTAGGTCTTCTATCCGACTCCACATCAGAGTGGTACCCCGAGCCTTGCTTGGCAGCTAGTTTAGAGGAAGGACAACTCTGAAGTCCAAACCAGTTGGGCAGCTCCATCTGTAAAAACCTATTTGCTGCTGAAACCACATTGAAACCACAGCAACACCACCAATCGTGGTTTATATGTGACCCTATATTATACAAGGAGTTTACAGTTTTAACCGACTAAATTAGCATTGGACCCACCACTAGTGATCTGCTTGACAGTAAGCATTGAGGATATTTTTTTTAATTTAGCCTTGTCTGACACAAGGCCATATTAGGAGTCTCTTTGCTAAGCATCTACAGAGATTTGTATGCATGGAGAATTGAGTAAACAACTATGAGTTGAGTTCTAGAAGAAGAACAGAAACAAAAAGAAAGACTATATTGAGTGAGGAGTTTTAGAAAAAAAAGTAAGAAAAATGAAAGAAAGAAAGAAAAAGAAAGAAAGAAGGAAAGTAAAAGGAAAGAAAGATAAAGGGGAAAAGAAAGAAAGAAAGAAAAATGAGAGAAAAATGAAAGAAAAAGGAAATAAAAAGGAAAGAGAAGGAAAAGAAAGAAAGAAAATGAAAAAAGAAGGAAAGGAAAGAAAGAAAGGAAAAAGAAAGAAAGAAAAATGAGAGAAAAATGAAAGAAAAAGGAAAGAAAAGGAAAAGAAAGAAAAAGAGAAAGAAAGTAAAAGGAATGAAAGATAGAAAGAAAAAGAAAGGAAAAAAGAAAGAAAAATGAGAGAAAAATGAAAGAAAAAGGATAGAAAGAAAGAAAGAAAGAAAAAAGAAAAAAAAAATGAAAGATAAAAAGAAAGAAGGGAAAATAAAAAAATGAAAAAATGGAATGAAAAGGATAGAAAAGAAAAAAGAAAAGAAAAAAATAAAAATAAAAGAAAAAAAGAAAAAAGATAAAGCAAAAAAAGAAAAAAGAAACAAAAAGTAAAAAACAAAAGAAGGAAAGAAAGAAAAAGAAAAGTAAGAAAGAAAAAGGAAAGAAAGAAAAAGAAAGAAGGAAGAAAAAGATAAAAGGAAAGAAAGATAAAAAGAAAGAAAGAAAAATGAAAGAAAAAAGAAGAAAAGAAAGAAAGAAAAGGGAAAGAAAGAAAAAGGAAAAAAAGAAGGCGAATATCCGGCAGTAGCAAACGTTTACTCATATTTTGTTTGTGACTTTACGAATAAAGATATCCATTGTTTTATTTTTTTCTCTCTTCTCGGATAAAGTAAAGTTGCGGAAATACTTGGTCGCATACAGCCACCGGTATCAGCTATCCGGTAATATGCAGCTGCTCAACTATCCCGTTTGCAGCAGCCAGTTTATCCGATGTGCGCCGTGCTAAAAGAACGAATTGTTATATTGCTTTGTTTTTCTGTTCTCGTTCTTTAATTCGCTTTCAACATGTGAAGTCCTCACCGGATTTTGATTCAACGGTCAGGAAATAAGATAAGAACACCTTTCCTCTCTACACAAGATCTGACAATTTTTTCACCCTTTAACCTCTCTTCTGATTTTGAGGTCGGGATCTATCTATTCGGCCGTGTGTTGCTCTTAAACATCTGTATCTATTGATAAAGAAAAAGAGGTATTAATAATAAAATAAAAAGGCCTTCATTCGAGTGTTTGTTGTAAATATGTGAATATCTATTTTGGAAAAGTTAAAGGGATATAATGGCTGATGTTAATTATTCGTAATTACGTTGCGAAAGGTTTAAAAAATAACGATGATAAATTTGCGTTGTTCTATTTGACTCTGTTTAAAATTGGCATCATTTTCTATGAAAACTAGAATATATATATATATATATATATATAAGTGAACATTGAAGTCAACCCTCAGAGACGATAGGTTGTTTTCAGCTAAACGCAGTCGTTTCCTAGCATAAAACATCGCCTCTGTGTGTTAACGTCAATGTTCCTTTTAAATTTACATTCGCTCTATCTTCTGATATTGAGACTTTTTCCCATAAATATATCATTAAAACTATATTCCTTCATATATATATATATATATATATATATATATATATATATATATATATATATATATATATATATATATACTGGTAATATTCGGTTGGAAAAAAACCTCGGATAGCACATCTTGTAAATTGGTACTCGAGAAAAACAGAATTGGAAAAAAAAAAAAAAAGGACTATAAACATCCGAAAAGAGCGAAATAAATCGTCCAGTGCCTTAAGTTTTTAGTTTAAAGAAAAAAACCCAACCGAGAACGCAGAGTACTCAATACGCAAAGTAGAGCCGGGATAAATGAAATAAATCCTAAAGATCCAGAAACATCCTACCTAGCTTTCACCTAAACGGATCTTTAGTGTATATATATATATATATATATATATATATATATATATATATATATTAAAAAGAAATGGACAAGGTCCGACAATTTATTTATTAAAGACATATTTTATGTTTAACGTTGTTATTTTATAGATACAAGTAATTTAAAGCAAATGCTCTGTTTATGATAAACAGTATTAAATAACATTTACCGGCCTGAATGTCCGAGAAATTTTCATAGAAAATATTCGTCCTTTGACAGGATTCGAACCTGCATCCTATACGGAACCGTCATATACGCTGACGTGCCCACGTGATGTGAATGTACGAGATTCATGGAAAATTGGGTTTATAAGCAGTAAATTCGACCTTGTCTACCGAACGCTTCTTTGTAGCCTAAGCGGTAAAGGCACGTCAGCGTATATGACGGTTCCGTATAGGATGCAGGTTCGAATCCTGTCAAAAGAACGAAAATTTTCTATGAAAATTTCTCACATTCAGGCCGGTAAATGTTATTTAATACTGTTTATCATAAACAGAGCATTTGCTTAAATACTTGTATCTATAAAATAACAACATTAAATGTCTTTTTATATATATATATATATATATATATATGTGTGTTTTTTTTGTGTGTGTAGCAATCGATGAGCAGTGTACAAAATAACGATGACCCGCCCACCCGGTGCCATGCTAATTTGGTCCCGTTGACGTGAACTGATATCGCTATCGTAGAGGGTCCATATATATAATACGTCACATATATCTTCAAGAATGCTTTGTTCATTTTTAGAAATTAATTTTAAACTTTAGAAATTATAATTTAAAGAAAAGAGGTGGGGAAATCTTGTAATAATTCATTAGTCAACGAAAGAGATTTTTTTTTATTCACACTACATGCTTAATTTATATTATTTGATAGCAATTAAAAGCTTATACAATTAAATAATTAGATAATTTTAATGCAGTTTTTATGTTACGATTCTGAGCATATCTTGTGGTATTGGGTAATAGCTTGAGGAAAAAAATAATTAAAAAAATATATCTGATGATACGTTGCTCTTAGTAGAACGAGAAATAAACAGACTCTGAAATTACAGATTGTATCTGCATACTGTCAAAGATTACTCAAACCTTCCAAAGATTACATAAAAAATATTGTGCTTTGGGAACTTTTGCTGTAAACATAATTTTGGTTGTAAATATGTAAGATTTATGGGGATAATATACGGATATCTTTCCTTAGCTGATAATAAATTGTACTCTCTTCAATTATTAACATTAACAGCGAACTATTTTGAATTGCAAAAATGTACTTAGATTAAACAAAAATATTTACAATATAATACATATTACTTATAATACATTCATCCTTGCGGCTAATTTTTAAAACTAGTTTAATATAAATCATAAATAGAAAGGCATACGATCACTGAAGTTAAGCAAGGTTGAGCCTGGTCAGTAACTAGATGGGTGACCGCTTGGTCGTGTAACGGATTATTAATCGGAATTATTAATCGGAACGCCGAGTTCCAATTCCAGTTAGGTTCGTTATATTCACTTACGCAAAAAAGACTCTTGGGGAAAGTTATGAATCCACCTCTTCTCCCCCAATCTATGGGTTAATTAGAAAAACTTGTATCACTAAAACAATTATTAATTTCCAAAACATGAAATAAAATTGCGTGCAAAATATCTAGATTTAGGAATTAATTGCTGCAAGTGTTATTTTTTGCACCCACAAAAAAAGTAACGTTTAGAATAAGTGGGGGTAATAAAGAGAATTAATTAAAATTAACAGGATTCCGGGAGAAAAAAAAGAAAGATGTTTTCCAGATGCATATCATCTGCCGCGCCCAGAAATAAAAACAGTTTGTTCTTTGGATTAAATGTCCTTTTGATGTCACAAAACAAATTCGGCAAATATGAACCTTGGAGCCCGCATTAAGATGGCGTGTCAAAAGGACTGTTTTTTTCCATGACACCCTTTTTGTTTTACTCTTCGGCAATGTTCATTGTTTTAAAAAGCGATGATTAGAATTGAAATAAAAACCTAAGTACACGATGAAAATGAATTTATAAATTTTTTTTATTTGTTTATATGAATTTACAACAAAAATATTTATTAGATTGTTTATCTACAATAATAACAACATTCTAAAACCTAATACAGTTTAATTAAAACTAATGCAATGCAATATTTATCATTTACAAATTCATAAAGAAAAAATATGAAAATAATATTTTATTCATAAAATTATAAACATTTATTAAATTATTAAAATATGTCAACCAACTACAAAGAAATCTTTATTATTTACCATTTTATAAAGTTTGAATTAACTGGCAATTAGCCGGGGTTTTGCCAACCATTCCAATAGATAATATAATAAATAAATAGTTCAAATAAACAATAAATAGTGTTTATTATTTTAAATTTCTTCTCCCTTCTGTGAATTTACGCAAGAGCCAATCTCTCATCGGCAAAAAGATGTCGATGGGAGATGATTCAGGCATATCCACAGAATGGCCTCATGTTCAGAACCGAGTACAACTCTAACCGCTGACCGCGATACCGTTTTTATTTTAACTAACTTCACTTTTCGGCAATGTTTATTGTTTTAAAAAAAACAATGATTAGACATGTTTGTTTTTTTTTTCTGTCGCATTTTTCTAGATCTATCTTTCATTTACTTACTTATTTACCTAACATTTAGCTACTTCCCCGTTGTTGCTTTGCTTATTGATTTATTTATTTATTTTGCAGGCGAAAGTTTTTGACTGAGATCGTTACATTCTAAACAGAACCCGTTCCATTGACTTGTAATGGAACGGGCCCTTCGTCGTGATGTAATTCTTAGCACTCTTGTCTTGTTAAATCAATTACAACTGAGTAGTGAGTTCAATCCACACTGGCTGCCGCATCTAAGCTACGTTTATAAAACCATCACTCTCTTGGTAAGCACAGTACAAGACGGGCGGCAAGGTCTCGTCATTTTACAGTTGAAACGACTGGATGTAATCGCAAGTTCTATGTTAACAATTTCTTCCACCGCACTTGTGGAACTCTCTTCCGGCTTATTGCTTTCCAGTCAACTTTTATCTTCAAAAATTTAAATGCAATGTCAATCGCTATTTTCTGTGTTCTTAATTCTTGTTTTTTTTTTATTGTTCTCTCTCCTTAATGGTATATCTGTTTCATATTCTCTAACACTCAATAACCTCTTAAGTCTTAGTGGCTTTATTCCTTTGCTTGGGGTGAAATGATAAAAGAGGCAAGCCAATCCAATGCTACCAAAATCAGATTCCTTTATCCTATCAGAACGTCAGATGTCTAAACAAAAAAGAATCTCACCATTTCCTGGCTTACCATAATCTCCAAGGCTCAAAGCGAGGGACATCATTTTTTAAAAATTATAGGTTTAGTTTTAGTGTATAACAAATTGTTTTCATTGCCCAACACACCAAAAGGTTCAGTTCTCTCTCTCTCTCTCTCTCTCTCTCTCTCTTTCACTCTCTCCACACACACACAACACGCACATGCGCATACACACATACAAACAAAACAAAACACAGTTTATATAACGAGGCCCAAACTCTCAAAGCGGGACAGTCCCGGCCAAACTTTGTTGTATGGTAAGCCTTTACCCACCCACTTCTCTCTCTCTTTCTCTCTCACTCTCTCTTACTTTCTCTCTCTTTCTATCTCCCCTCTCTCATTGTCTCTCTTTCTCTTTTCCTCCCTCTCATTCCAAAATTTGCGGAACTATTTCGCTATGCATGACGTTTTTACAGTAACGTGAATTCTCAGATTATAAAAACAAACTCTCAAATTAATCGAGACTCAAGGGAACCTTA